AATTGCAATGTTACACTAATTTATTAAATTAATGTATTTTTTCAAGATTTACCATAAAACTTTAATGAAAAATGCCAGGAACACCCCAAAACCACTAATATGATCAAACTCCAAGTGAAGCTGTAAATTGGGATTTCTGATCATAAATGCAAACTTGAAAAAAATATAGAAATTCACAGAATTAATCAGAGTGCATAATTCGAGTTAAATAAGTACATGCAAATTGATTCTATTCATTTATCTATTTGAATTTTAGATAACACCTAGTAAAACCCGAGTCAAACCCAGTAAAACCCCAGTAAAACCCCTTTAACATAGTAAAACCCGCTGGGTTTTACTGATTTGCGACCCAGTAAAACCCAGTAAAACCCCAAAACCCCAACCCAGTAAAACCCGGGGTCGGAATACCCTGATTACACCATAAGGTAAATATAATAACGAGAGAAGCAATATTCCTCATACTCTTGTAATACATGTGTGCGTACGTATGTATGCATATTTATTACTCCCGCATGAAAATTTTCCGACATTTTCTTCATAAATTATATGGCGAATCCTGTACAAATTGTGTGCCTAAAATTGGCCGATTTTCAGGAAGAATTGTTTCTGCATAAAACGGGATAAAGAAATATTTGTGAAACATCTTCTCCAGCTAAGAGACAAACTTAAACAGGGGTCTAAAATTGCGTCTTATTTTAGAATCAAATTAGCATCTCCTCTTGTTAATCTACAAAATTTTGATATTGTAGGAGGGTTCGTTTTTGACTATATGCAAACCGTTTTGCTTGGAGTTGTTCGCACTTTCGCTTTTGCATGGACAGAGTCAAAAAACCACTCTGAACCATTTTATATTGGCACAAAAGCGCACGAAATTAATCAACGAATTGCTAAATGTAAAATTCCACATGAGTGTAGACGAAATATGAGAGAAATTAAGGAAATGACGTATTGGAAAGCCAGTGAGTGGAAAACTTGGATGATAATTGCAATTCCATTATTGCGAGGCATTTTGCCAAATTGTTACTTGAAACACTTCGGCAAGTTAATTGTTTCTATTTCAACCCTATCCAGGATAATGTAACATTAGAGAAAATTAACGAAGCTGAGAAATTAGTTAAATAATTTTGTTTATTGACTCCTAGTTTATATGACAAGAGCTACTGTAGTTTTAACATCCACTTACTAACTCACGCTGCTGATTGCGTGCGACGCTGGGGACCCTTGTGGAGCTACTCATTGTTTCAGTTCGAAAACTATAATGGGGTGCTGACAAATAGCTATTGCGGTACCAGAGAAGTAGGGTCACAAATAATTAGTAGAATTATATGTGCACAAAAAGTTTGCTCTCTTGGGGAAGTCAATTTCCAAAATAGCATAGCTAAAGATTTTCATTTTTCAATGATGGAAAATAAGAAATACTCCAGGAAGTCCTGTCCCCTTGATAATTGCACTCTTTTGGGAGCAAAAAAAATATACAATTTTAGTACAACTGAGAGAAAGAAACTAGAGAAATTAGGGTACATGCACAGTGAAGGTTTTAGTTACAAATCATGTATAATATATGGTAAATTTTTAAATTCCAGTAATAGTGATACAATCAAACGGGTGAACTCTATTGTTAAAATTAACGGTAAATTGTATGTGATTTTTAAACTACTTAATTTGTTTGGTGTTCCAAACGCGATTTTGCTCGTGAAAAAGTGTGTTGTAGCCGAGTGTAAAGATTCACCAAAGTCGAATAAAATTATATCAGTTAGCAATAATGTTAGGTTCGAATTGTCAACTGATGTAGAGCGTATGAAATTTGTATGTCAATATGATGAAAATGGGAATTTATATATAGTTACCGAACTTATGAATACAATTGAACTGGAATAAATAAATATGCCAATGTACCTTGTTACGCACAATAAGCACATAATTCAGTCATAATTTGCCAAATAATTTTATGCATATAAGATATGACACGAAAATTATGCATGATTAGGTCGGATTTTTCATGCAGAAAATGTTCGGCATAAATATTATAGGGATTGTGCATAATTATCCTTGGTTTTTTATGCAGAACATGTTCGACATAAATCTCATGCCAGTTATTCATAATTCGGCATATAGTTTCCTGCACAATCAACTGTGCAGGGAAGTTGTGCCGGTTTATGCAGGATTCGCCATACCATTTTCATACGGGCTGTATCTTTCCCAATTCATTGCATTTATCTTACAAGTACAATACGTAACAGACTGATAAATACACCATATTATTATATTTACTGACTAGTAAATTAAACAAGATACAATCGTTAGCACGTGCTCCTAAGCATAAAACAAAATGCTAAACCAAGTCAATAATTAGACCACAATTATTGGATGAAATTAATTTATAAATAAGATAATGCCGAAAACCCCTCCCCAAATTGGATAAATGAATGAATGAATGAATGAATCAATCAATCAATCGATCAGAAAAAAAATCTGTTTGCTGTGTTTCCCGAGGCCGATATCCCAGTTCCGAAATGCTGGACAGATACGCTTATAACCGCGGGAACTAACGTCTAACGATCAGCCATATAAGTCTAGCGGTTTTTACCACATTGTGGAAAGTGGAGAAGGCAGCCTTAGATATGTCGTTTACTCCACACGGCACACCCAGTTTTACTTATGCAGCATGATTTATGTACACACCATAATTTACACACCTAATGATGCACGCACACCTCCACATATAACTTGTCCAGGAATAAATGGTTCCGCGTAAAGTGTACGTACACTGCGCAATTTGTGTAGATTCCCATTTTTCATTTTTATTTTTTGAAACGTAATTACATGGGCTTTCAGGGGATACAAAGCATTTTTGGTTAAAATAGTGAAATTTGGTAGCAATCGCCATGAAAGTGAAAACCTTGCGAATCGAGTTTTTCACAAGTGCAAAATCGTCGCGTTTCGTTATACGAACAATTCGTGGCAGTACTTCAAAACGGAAGCATGTCACGAAACGATAAACAATCTTTATATTTCGATGTATGAGGATCGCAAAAAGTGAAATTAAAAAAACATTTCAGATCCACTCTCGCCATAGCCACCCATCAAATCTTGAAAGACATTAAACAACTCTTCAGCAATAACTCTTCCACGTCAAATCGTGACCCTGCTCGGCTACTGCAAATTTCAAAAAGTTTGTTCCACAACATTAAAGTTCATGAACCGGGGATTACAGAAAAAAATAAACAAAGTCTCATAAAGTACGTTAAAGACCAAAAAATCACAATTCAAAAATGTTACAAAAAATTATATCAACAAATGTCATTAGAAATTGTCATAAGTTATGATGAAACCCACGTCGTCCCTGATCCCTCAAAGACTTCGGAAAGCACATTTTTTCACACAGGCAGCCTTGCCAGTGTAGATTATCAACAAAACTTGCACTTAAAAACTAAATTCCCCGTAAAATTCCAAGTTAATCTAGCGACGGATAACATTGAGAAAGATACCCTTGAAACCGCTGACCCTACAAATCTGCTTATTTGTGAGAAATCTAAAAGTTTTGGGTCTTGTGCAAAAGAAGATACTCTAACCTTCACTCCAAGGCGAAAAAGCTGAAAGAACACCAAAAAATCAGGCAGGGCATTTCGCAATCGGGTTGAAAATTGGTAATTTGAGGGTTTGTGCGGAAAGTCGGATTGGTGGTAAACAATGAAGTAAGAAAAATTCTTCGAAGCAAAAACTAACATGTCTGGTTCCTACCTACAATTTACGAAAATCTTTATAAATATCATTAATCAGGTCGTAATGTACAGGTCATTATGCGCGGAACCATTTATTCCTGGACACACCTTATTTCTCAAAAAAAGTCCCCCTTCAAGAAACTACTGCCCACCCTTTTTAAATCTGGGGCAGACTTGACCCTTTTGAAATCTTCGTCGTATGACTTTTTCTTCTCAGCCGAAATCGAGACTGTGGTACAATTTCTCAAGAAATTAACCAAGTTTGCCTCTCATGTTACTTTTCTGGAGACAAAAACAGGAATTGTACATCGAAACGCTTCCAGAAATCCTGGAAAAGTTCAAAATAAGGGTTACAAACTGAGGAAAAGTTAAGCAGGAGATAAATACGAGCAGATGCGCGTTATTGATCAATTCTTTCGAATTGATCAATGCGGAGTTAACAAAAGGTAATCCGAAAATTGTTGGCGAATGCTAGAACCGAAAATGGCGAATAAATAGAAAATTATGTGCAGCATTTATTTACATATGCGCAAGTTATCATTTATGTATTTTCAATGTTTTCTTATTTTTGTATGGGAAATAAAAAGGGAAATTTCCGTTCGTTTGAAAATTGCAAATTTATTATTGTATTTAAATATTTTTTATTATTCACAAACTTAATGACACATTAATGCGTCCAAAATTTAATTTAACATGTCCCTGATAATGGGACGTCCATTTATGTCGGGCACAAAATACCGACTTTTACCTAATACCCTATCCCCCCGTTGTCACGCTTCACAGCTCATTTTGAAATATGGTGTGTCCCATATTAAGTTGGAAGATGACATATGACGTGTGGAATTCGACCTGGTTAAAAGATTTTTATAAAACCTTCGGGGGAGTGTAGGTGGGAATTATACCAACCAGTTTTTGTCCCGGGAGATTTTTTTTACTCCATTCTTGGCCACCAATCCGACTCTCCGCAACAACCCTCGAATTTGCGATTTTCACTCGCTTTCCAAATGTTTTTGCTGAGTTTTCGCCGTTAACATTCGAATGTTTCCTGCTTTTTCGCCTTGAGGCGAAGGTTAGAGTGTCTTCTTTTGCACAAGGCCCAAATCTTTTCGAATTCTCACAAATAGGGATATTTGGAGGGTTTTCTGTTTTAAGGGTATCTTTCCCAATGTAAACCCTGCCATGATTAACTAGGAATTTTAAAAGAATTAAGTTGTCATGAACAACTTCCGTCGATAATCCACATTGGCTGGTCTGCCTGCCTGAAATGATGTGTTTTCCGAAGTCTCTAAGGGACCGGGGTCGACGTAGGTCTCGTGTTTGTTAACCATAATTTTAATGACATTCATCGACACATTTTTTGGCAAAATCTTTGGACAGTAATTTTTTGGTCTTTATCGTACTTCTGGAAACTTTGTATATTTTTTTCTGTACTCCTCAATTTATGAACTTTCAGGCTGCGCAACAAACTTTTTAAAATTTTCAGCTTCCAAGTGGCGGGGAAAATTTACAGGGAAGAGTTGTTGGTGATGAGTATTTTGATGGGTTTCACATTTTGATGAGTGGCTGTGACGAGAGGTGGGCCAGAATGTTTTCCGAATTTCACCTTTTGTCATCCTTATACTTCGAAATATATAGGGTGATTGTCGTTTTGAGACATCTTTCGGTTTTGAAGTACTGCGACGTCTTTTTCGGGTCACGTCAGGTGACAATTTAAAGCCAGTGAAAATCACTAATTCGGGGGTTGCTGGAAATTCGGAAATTCTGATTGGTGGCCAAGAATGGAGTAAAAAAAATCTCCCGGGACAAAAACTGGTTGGTATGATTCGAACCTACACTATCCCGAAGGCTTTATACAAATCTTTTAACCATGTCGAATTCCACAGGTCATATGTCATCTTCCAACTTAATATGGGACATATGACGCAAATGGGGCTATCACGCAGAAGTTATACCTTCAACAAATACAACTTCATATATATAAAGGGTGTTGATTTATTCCGGTAACCTTTTTACTGCAAAAAGAAAATGCATGTTTTGCAAAAGTACTTGTGCGACCAAAGCCAATCTTTTTTCAGAGATACCTTAGTATGTGGTCTTTCACCATGCACTTCAATTATGCCCTTAACCCATTGTTTTTCACACCATGTTCATTTTTCCAAGGTTGATTTTGGAATGAAGTTCCAAAACTCGGTTTTTGTCCAACCATCAATAAGATTAAGAGCTTCTACGTCCTCTACAGTGTGGTCTTTCCCACAAATTTGAATAGCATTACTGCACTTAATAACCCTCAAAATATGCTTTGTTCCTTCGATCAACCCATTGCAAAAAGTAGCACCATTAATTGTACATGATTGACTAAAGTGTGACACATAAAGGCATAGTGAGCCATATTGTTGGACAAATGCATACAAATTATCAGCCCCTGGTTCAATGTTATACACATGATTTTTCGCCTCCTCGCAAACAGAGACATTATAACAATTGAACGATGTTAAAACATTATTATTCCCACGAATAATGATTCCAAACCTGACGCAGCGTCCGGGGCCTTCGGGGTGACAAATTTCAATATTACTCAATTGATTTTCATCTCCTATAACATCCACAAAGTCACAAATTACGTTACTGACAACATTATTATTACCTTTTATACCTAAAAATTCCAATGTCAAATTATTAATTGTACAATGATTTCCACCAATAACAATCCTCACATTTTGATGACTCAAAGCATTAACCCCATTAAAGGTTAAATTATCCTCTACAAAATGGTAAGACTTGACAATATCCTCCATAATATTAATATTTATGATATCACCTGCCACTAATTGCCCTTGGATGAAGGAAAATTCCTCATGTGATTCAACAGTAACTTGACGAGAGTCGATCAAAAATATATCACCATGTCCTTTAATTCTATCTTGAACGCGTCTCTTGGTAAGATTAATGATAATATTAGTCCAATTTCGGAACCACCAATCTGTTCCCTTAATTAGACTAGTTTCTGCATCATGCACCAGCCTGTGGAACATTGATCTCGTATCTTTCTGCTTAATTTGCTGGAGAATTTCCCACGACACTAAACCAAACGAGTACAAGTCTGCGGGGATACTGTAATCAGAAAAATTAGTTTCTGGAGCTCGATACGTGACACTTCCTACGAAACAGGTTAGTGTTTTGGTGACAGTGTGTTCCCCATGGACGTTTCGGCATAGCCCGAAATCTCCCACTTTAACGGGAAATGCGAATTCTTCTCCAGTTTGTGAGAAGGAAAACATAATATTTTCTGGGCGAAAGTCGCGATGCATGATTTTATTGTTGTGCAGGTATTTTAGCCCTTCATACATATCCATAACTATTTTCTTTCGAATTGGGTGCAATTCTGGGTTGTCAATCTCATTATTTCTGGTCAACCAGTGACGCAACGTCTTACCGCATAACTCCATTTGAATGCAGAGGGTAGGAATTTGTTTCTTTCGTTGTGCTCGAAACGATAGCGAGTGCAGTTGGTCAAGGACGTCGTCATTGTTCTGAAGACATCTAATATTTCGCAGGACGTTGACATCTTCTTCGGTGAAAGGTGTGTCGGTTGCTTTTAATATTTCGACCAAATTGTCGTGTTTCTTTCCTCTCATTAGTTTGTACTCCCGGGAGAGGCGAAGGTTATCTTCTCCGTAGTCTAACTGGTTGCCGATGGCGTCGATAAATATGACTTTCACGGCGGAAAGGTTGGTCTGCCCACTTATCTGAAATATAATGCAAAAAGGTTGAAGGTATATTTAAATAATAGCAACAAGTGGAAGTTACATACTACTCTTGTTTTATTTACCACACGATCTTCAACGTCATCACTTTCATTACTAATAGCATTGCAGTGGTGACGTCGAGGGTCGTATCGTAAATAAACGGACTGTAACTATCCTATCTTACTATCCTTAAATGGTTTCTCCATCGCCATATCTTATCAATACATATGGGGATTATACCCGAGCAACTGGATAGCCACTGTCATACGGTATAAAGTAAGAGGATATGCAATAGATCTGGTGGATGATCTGAGCAGTGGGCTCCTCCATTAGGAGGAGCCAATACTCCAGGGATGCAGGATTTAGTGTACTCTCTTATATATCGCGCCGCAATTATATTACGTAGCCGAATAATTGTATTATTTAACACTAGTTTATTCTTATTTTGAACTTCAAATTATTCAATTCGTGTCGAGAATTTAGGTAACGTAAATACTCTATTTATCGCTGGGGCTAAAATCCGAAACGGAGGGTCCCGGCTACAATTGGAGTCCGGCTATATAGATAATTAGAGACCCGGCTAAATTTTGTTCCGCTTTAATTTGAGACATTACGAAGATTTACCATCGGTAAAGCATTCACTCTAAATATAAATTCAAGTTATCGTCCTTAAAAGAGGTTTAGCCGTTTTTACATTTTTTGTCGTGCTTATACATATGAATTCTCTTTAAAATGAAATTTATATTTTTGTAAATTTTGACCCTATTCTTTAATTAACCAAATTAGAATAATGTAGAATTTTTGTTAGACAGATTATCAACAGGGCCACGGTGGACAATAAAAGCTATATTTGGAGACCGGCTATAATTAGAATAGGGATATAAATAGAGTATTTATGGTAATTGATTACTTAAAGCCAAAATAAAAATGAACAATTTTTAAATAATATAATAATTCGGCTAATATAGTCGAGGAGCGATGAATACGAAGACCTGCATCTCTGGCCACATTTTTCTTCACATTTACATATTTACATAATCCCCCCCCCCCTATCCGGGGAGGATACAGGGCAAACATGTTAAACTTCACTATTCAATAATTGTCCTCACAAATTCCGAGTCACAATGATCCGTAATTCCGCGTCTAAAATTTTGCTTGGCTCAATATGTATAAAAATCAAAAAATTCAATATTACCCCCTTAAAAACGTAACCGAACGACCCACATCCAAGAAAAGATTCCAATGAGAGATAATCAAACCAGGATGTAAGTGATTCAACACAAGAGTCGTGATCCATTGGGTCAGTATCGCCCATTTTCTAGGAAGGAATATTATTTCAAAAATGAGTGAACGTTAAACAAACTTGAACACGAGTAATTGTCGAATAGACGAAATTGTTATAAACTGCGCAGTAAATTTGCATCTTTACATATGATACTTTACGTTAGCAACACGAGCGAGTTCTTCACTTTATACATAGTGTGTTCACATAAATGTCCAGTTTGTCCACGTTTTAGTCGCGAACCTATTTGCCACTAGAAAATAACAACAAAGAACAGCGCCCTATTCTCCAACACGACATATGTCTTCCGTATAAGCCCGTGGAGGAAATTTTGAAAAAAAGGTATGATTTCCAAACAATATTAATACTTTGTTCATTCATTAAAAATTCGAAGAAATAGCTTCAATATTTTGTGATATACATATCACCTCAAATTCTTGCACTAGCAATCCTGGTCCGACTATGTATTATTTGCAATGTGACTTCATCTTCACGTCTCGGCATGCTATTTATTATTCATGTGCTGTCTACAGAATTCCTTCTTGCTTGGGGTCGTTCATAAATTTTGTAAGGCCAGCGGGGATAGATCTAATGATCCATGTGACTACCTGACACATGTTATAACGGGAAGAGGGGTCTAGAAAATCGCGATTTCTGCGTCACATTCTTTATGAACGTCCCCTTATTTCGTGGGTCTATATCCGATGAATATTAGTGCGATAATTATACGACACATATCCTGGCGTGTTCACAAATGCATGTATTAAACAAGCAAATGCGAGAATTTTTGCAAGTATGTAAGGGTGTGTAAATGCAGGGTAAAAAATAAAAATCAGTCATGTATGTATCACGTGTATATATATGTTTACACGATGTGTAGTACACATATCCATGGGCTATACTTTAATTACTATACATAAGAAGTGCAAGAAGTCCAAGATTTTTAATGACGTACAAGTTTAATCGATTCAATTTTTTTTGTATTCACGAACAACATTTCGGAAGTATTGAAAACATTGTTAGATGTGAAATCGATAGCATCCATAAATTGTACACAAGTTTCATATTAAATATATATTAATTACATAAAATGTAAAGGGTGTTAATAAAGTCCGATCCCATGCATTTTTTGGAGCGTGGTTGTTACAAATTCAGCTGGAACTTTTGAACCAGTGAAGTTATTTATTTCAAATTTTTACCATGGGAGGAACAACTAAACGTGTAAGTCATGAGCATCTTAGAGTTGAGATACAAACATTGCATCAGCAGGGGCTTAAACCTACAGAAATTGTGCAAAAATTGGGCTGCAGCCGCAGAACTGTTTGGAAATGGAAGAATAAAAATTTTGTCCACGACAAAAAGCGACCAGGGCGACCCAGAAAGGTGTCACCTACCACAAAAAGAATGATTAAAAACAGACTTTGCAAGAAAACCGGTAGTTCATTACGTAATTGAGCAAGGGAGTTAAATGACTCAAAACGCTATAAAGAGAAGAAGAAGCAAATTAACTGTGTGACCGTGCAAAAATTTGTGAAAACTACGAAGTGGGGTCACACAGCTTACAAACTAACCAAAAAAACCTCTCATGTCACAAAAATATATCGATGACCGTCTGAAATTTGAAGAACTCCTTCAGAAAAGTGCCCATTTGAGTGAAAAAAGACTTGGTGAAGAATTGCGCAGTCACATCCTTTGGACTGACGAATCTATTATTGAACTATATCCAAAATTGAACCAACAAAATGTTCGTTACAGGACAGAAAACAAATCGGATGTACCATCAAGAGCGATCCCAAAATTCGGGCTTAAAGTTATGGTAGCGGGTGGATTTTGTGCACGTTGCGTGACCCCTCTACATATCATACCAAAAGGCCAATCAGTTAATGCAAAGCATTATATGGAAAAAATATTACCTATCTATTTCGATAGCATGGGGAACAAGGAAATATTTCCGAATGAAAGAAAAATAGTTTTCATGCAGGATGGTGCTATAGCCCATACAGCAAAAGCGAGTTTGAGTCTCATCAAGACGCAAGTTTCAACGGTCTGGAGCAAGGGGGTGTGGGCCGCTAACGGCCCAGATTTGAATCCCCTGAAGAACCAGTGGTCCATACTTAAGGAAAATGTATACAAAGAGCCACAACCCCGGACGAGGGAAGAGCTAGTAAAAAAAAGTTCAAGATGTATGGAATTCGATTTCCAGAGGCACATTGGAAAAATTAGCACAGAGCCTTAAACAAAGAGTTGAGGGCATGGTTAAAGTAAATGGTAACAAGACCAAATACTAAGGTAAATATGTCGAACATTTTTTGTAAGTATCACGGGTAGTTTTTTTTATACTAGCCTTCACTTTTTTACAGGAAAAATGGGATCGGACTTTATTAACACCCTGTAGGTGTATGTATATATTTTTACAACCTTATTACAAAAATTACAAGACTAATTATCCAAATTAAGCTACAGAGTTATATCAAAAACCAAAAATTAGGAATCACATGAAACTTATCTTTCCGTTGAATGGCCCGTCTCAAGGAAAATATTGGCTGTAAAGTTTACGCGCCTGCCCTGTTTTTCGTCTCGTGGAAGAAAGAGCCGGAGAAAATTAACTCGAAAATTGAACTTTGCCGTCAATATTTTTCTAGAAAGGGGCCATTCAACGGAATGGTAAGCGTCACGTGGTTCCTAATTTTTGGCTTTATTTTTCCGATATAACTCGCTACAGAAACGCAGTTTAGCTTGACAAAATGCTATACTGTTAAAGTATTTCAAACCATAATTGGTTCCATGGACTAACGATTTCCTAAGTCAGCTTTTTTAATTGTAAATGGATTGTTAAATTTTATCATTTGCAAATTAAACGGCTAAATCGTTGGACAAAATCTCCCATACTTTGCAGGACCATGCTACATATGTAAATGATCTTGAGCAGCATTGTTGTTGGGAAGGATTTTAAACCATTATTGCTCGGCTTATAACAAATAATATACCTACACACTTTTCTATGAAAGATTAAACCTTATTACGAAGATTATTAATTCCAAGAAAATTTGTTTTAAATTTTATGATATCATTGTGAAACAAACTACTTATACGTCAAATATAAGTTCTACTCGGAAATATGAATACCTTGAACACGACGAGCGATCGGTAACACTCCCAAGAAAAAAAAATCTGCCAGAAAATACTACACATATACAAGCATATTTTTTCCCAGGAATACTCTCTTGTACCAGGAATAAGTGACATCTAGAGGAAAATCCAAATAATTAACTGTTCTGAAAATGTAAGGGGCCGGCCATACATAAATTACGTAACGCAAGAGGGGGATGGGGATCTAAGGTTCCAATGATATGGTGTACATGTTACCCATGTTAACGGGGGGGCCTAAAAAACCTAGATTCTTGCGTTACGTAATTTACGGACGGCCCCTAAGCTGCTGGATGATACTATTCTTTTAGCTTGAATTTGTAGCAGTTCCAGTTTAAGTGCTAGGAAATACAGAACACAGTTTTGCTATGCTCATTTAGGTTTTTCTCCAATTACCAATGAGGTTAACAACAGCTAAGTTCTCTGTTTTATGGTATTTTCCATTAATCTGAATGACATTATTGCACCTAATGTCTTTCAAAGCATGACTGTTTCCATCTACGAAAGAATTCCGTAAGTTCGCGTTCTTAATTGCACATGATTCGCTAAATTTTGACAAGTAAATACATATTGGGCCGTATCGTTGGACAAAAGCTTTCATGTCACAAATCTCTGGGTCAATGTTTTGCATATGTTTTTCCATCAGTTTAGCATGGATATTGCCACAATGGACATTTTGTAAAATATGATTTCCTCCGTTTATATAAACGCCGTAACTATCACCGTAAAATATTTGGTCATTATCTGGGTGTAAATACTTTACATTGGTCAATTGATTTCCATTTCCCATAATATTCACATTGTCACAAATTACGTTACTGACAACATTATTATTACCTTTTATACCTAAAAATTCCAACGTCAAATTATTAATTGTACAATGATTTCCACCAATAACAATCCTCACATTTTGATGACTCAAAGCATTAACCCCATTAAAGGTTAAATTATCCTCTACAAAATGGTAAGACTTGACAATATCCTCCATAATATTAATATTTATGATATCACCTGCCACTAATTGCCCTTTGATGAAGGAAAATTCCTCATGTGATTCAACAGTAACTTCAGATTGACGAGAGTCGATCAAAAATATATCACCATGTCCCTGAATTCTATCTTGCACTCGTCTTTTGGTAAGGTTTATAATATTATAGGCCCAATTTCGAAACCACCAATCTGAACTCTGAATTAGGTCGGTTTCTGCATCATGCACCAGCCTGTGGAACATGGACCTCATATCTTTCTGCCTAATTTGTTGCAGAACTTCCCACGATACTAAACCAAACGAGTATAAATCTGCGGGAATGCTGTAATCCGTATAACTAGTTTCCGGAGCACTGTATGTGACACTTCCCACCAAGGCGGTTAATGTGTTAGTGATAGTGTCTTCACTATGGACCTTTCTGCATAGCCCGAAATCTCCCACTTTAACAGGAAATGCGAACTCCTGTCCTATTGATGAGAATGAAAACATAATATTTTCTGGGCGAAAGTCCCGATGCATGATTTTATTGTTGTGAATGTATTTTAGCCCATCGCACATGTCGATAACAATACGCTTTCGAATTAGGTGCAGTTCTGGGCTGTCAACGTCATTATTAATATTTAACCAGTGACGCAACGTCTTACCGCATAACTCCATTTGGATGCAGAGGGTAGGAATTTGTTTTTTTCGTTGTGCTCGAAAAGATAAGGTATGTAGTTGTTCCAAAACGTCTTCATTGTCCTGGAGGCATTGAATATTTTGCAGGATATTAACATCTTGTTTAGTGAATGATTTGTCCGTTGCCTTTAATATTTCGACCAAATTGTTGTTTCTTTCCAGCCATGAGTTCATATTCGCGGTAGAGTCGACTTTTATTGGCTTCGTCGTCAGGCTGATTTCCGCGTGTGTCGATAAATATGACCTTCACGGCGGAAAGGTTGACTCGTCCACTGACCTAAAACGAAATGCTTTATGTGAATGGATAACAGCTAAATTATTTAATTGTCGTTGATGCGGCGAGGCATAATAATAATAGTGATTTGTATACGGAAAAACAGTATATGATTGGGACAATGCAATCGGGGCAAAATAAATTCCTAGATAATCTATAACTATTCTAGTTTACTGTAAAAATTACCAGAACGTTCAATTGTTAGTCAGAGTTTTATAATATGCATGAAAAGTTATGAAAAGTTATGAATGTGATGGTACAATTGCCCCATAATGTCCAGTTTAAGTCCAATAAGGCCAAGTTTTAAGTCCAAGTCAAGTCTACGCATATGTTCACTACGGCAGGAGATCACCAGAAAATCAGTTATCACGAGAAGATATTTCTGACGTTGATAAGCGCCCGCCGTAACAGTCGTGGTAAAGTCTCAATTAATATTAATACACTTAGGATACAAATAATTTTCTAGCTCAATATGTTGAAAAACGTAGCCTTACCGCCTTGAAAACATAGCCAAAGGTCCCAGATCCGAGAAAAGATTCCAAAGTGAGATAATCAAACCAGGATGTAAACGATTGCGCAGAAACTTCGTGATCCATTGGGGACAAATTGTTTTTGTTGAATTTTAGTGCGAGTAAGTAGCGAATGAGTGGAATTATTATGAGTGGAGTGGAGTTATTACTATAAGTCTAACAAGGTAGGCACCAAGTGTGTAGTTTGATAGTAACTTCAGATAAGCGAAACAACCTGGCAGGGCAGTAGTGAAGGCCGTGATCCAATGTCACACTTATGTATTTATATAATCGTCCAGTATTTCAGCATATGTTGAAACAATTATTGGAAATGATTAATTGTGCTCCCATCATGCAAATAATATTTCCCTGTGATACATTTCTCCATGGTTTATTGTATCACTAAACTTTGCGCAGTGAGGCACTGTCAGTCTCAGTGACAAATAGATATCGTTGTACTTATTCATAAATAACCTAAGTGCAGTCGATGCTTAATTCAGAAAAGACCTAAGCGTACAGAAAAAAAGTTAAAAAAAAGACCATTGTATGTGCAAGTACCCCGGGTGGAAATCGTATGTCGAATTTGACATAATTCGACACAACTACCCGGACCAATGGTTTATGCAGAAATCGTATGAACGATTCTGCATAAAACTTCTGACAAGTATATTCTGCAGAAAGGTTTTGCACAATTATGCATAATTTTTTCTGCATAAAATCTAGCCAATTCTCTGCATAAAAGCCAGCCAAATTTATGCATAAAATCCCTTTAATTTTTCACCTGGGATGTATTTACTTATGGATAAATCGCGCGATATATGAAGACTCGTTTTGGCGAGATATAGGCATAAGTAAATATATACTTGCAAATAGGTCTTTTTTTTACGTTTTTTCTGTACACTTAGGTCTTTTCTGAATTAAGCATCGACTGCACTTAGGTCATTTCTCAATTAAGCATCGACTGCACCTAGGTCTTTTATGAATTAGTACGACGATATCACGAAATGATGGTTTGTCTTATTAAATGATATCATTGTGTACGAGCCTGTTTAATCGTTATGCAGTTGGAATTGATTTTATTAAACAAGCGAAACAAATTATGTTTGGTTAACCGTACATTACATATATATTTTAAGTACCATACAGTAGACTAGATAAACGGACAAACTAATTGTTTTTGTATTGACACCGTGTGAGTAATGACTATGTATGTACAGGGTAAATAGTTTAAATGTCACGCTACGACGGAAAATATTTCAATTGGAAAAGTCCCTAAATCTCCTTTAGTTACAAGATTTACGATTGAGATTTTTATCAAGTATCAACAAAAGTGGTGGAACTTTGATGCCAAAATTCTTAAAATGTTTAATTTCTGAGACAGAATTTACATAACTAATGGGAATTTACGAATGTTTCCCACTGAAAAATTTTCCATTCTAGCGTGACAATTAAACCACCCTGTACTCGGCTGCCACTGCCTGCCTAACCACGCCACTAGGTATCGGTCTCAAATTGTCGTACGAGAGGCAAGGCGACTTGCATTAACGTAGTTCCTCAGAATTTTTAAATTTCTGTAAAATTTCAACGGTACGCAAAAAAACAATGCATTTCTACATATATACTTGCACTCTTAGAAATCTAGTATTAAAATAATACCGAGCGGTATTCATATATGACTCTACCAAAGTGGTATTGATAAGTAATACGGTGTAGTAATAACTCGGTATTAACGTTCTACCAGATCGGTATGAAATTTTTACGGACCGGTATAATTCTAATACGAAGTGGTAGCAATTTTAATACCTAGAAATCAACACCCCTAATCACTATACCAGATTTCTAACAGTGCGAAACTCTTCATTTTTAACTTACATACAATGAATAAAAATGATGATCTCCAAATGTAGGGTCACAGAGTTTGACCAAACTCAAACAAAGCGGTCGCAAAGTTAATTAGTATGAAATTTGCAAATGGCACTTTCTGCCAATATGCGCAGGTTTAGAGGAAGTATGTATTTAGATCTTAAGAGTAAAGTCACATTGCATTTTTTAAGCTTGTTTGACAATGCGGTTCGAATCTTGTACTATAATTTACATAATTGTCACTAAGCACCGTGTTTGACTATGATTCAATGACATTTCAACATCCCCCTCCCCTCAAAATTATTCATAGAGGAGAAAAATCTACGTATTTATGTACACTATGTTTTGCAATTTTCAAACAAACGGAAATTACCAAACTTTATTTACCGTATACATAAAAATGAGAAAACATGTGAAAATGATGTTCTTGATTTTTTGTTCATTTAGCATTTTCTCTCTTCACACTCGCCAGCAATTTTCGGATTACTTTCAGTAATTCCATCGGCTCGTATGGAAGATCAGAATTATTATCATTTCGAGTGATTTTGTCCGACTCGGGAGGAAGAAGAGCTTCAATCCTTGCCTGCAACAGGGTCACAAAGGGAACCCAAAATTTTGGCAGGGCTCCGACTTCTTCTTGCACATCTTCTCCATCATCAGAGTCCGACTCGTCTTCGTGAAAATTTGCATAGCGTGAGAGGGCCTTCACCAAATCGCCGTATTTCTTGGCATCCCCTACAATTAGACAAAAACACTAATTTCTCTTGCTGTTTTTTTAAATTAGCCCGATCGAAATCCGTACCACTGAGGGAACGTTCATAGATTACGTCATCAAGACATTTCCGGGCTTTTAAACAACCACTCAATCCTTCAATGTCCTAAATACTCATGTTAAGGTTAACACGAGCAAGATAAGCGACCAAAAACCACCCACCCACCTTTCTGACGATGTATTATAAGGACGTCCCCTTGTACAAATACCGAGGTTAAGGGGCCGTTCATAAATTATGTCACGCCAAAATCGCGATTTTCTCGTTTCCCGCCCTCTTTAAAATGTCGCATATTTAGAAATGATACCACTTGAGCCGTTGACGCCATAGGGAACGTCCACATATTTGGTCACCAAAAAAGTGGGTGAGCGGTTTTGGATCGTCTATCTTACTCGTGTCAGGTTTAACCTGTGTATGATGGTTATGAAAGTGTGGTTTAGAAACCCGATATTTTCTGATTAAGTACATAATATATGAATGTCCCCTCTCTCATTACGTAATTTATGCACATCCCCACGTGACTTTTTATGCAATGAAAAGTACAAACATGCAGAACGCATCCTTACCTAAAATCCCCTTGATGTCTGCCCCCACTCGCTCCACAACTTCGAAATACCTGACAAAAAAGGCACACTCGTCGAGATCCTCGTACTCCTCCGCATCTTCTTCCCAGTTTTCCAATAAATTTGTGCAGCTGTAGAGATCCGTCACGAGTCGGACCCAAACCACACCCACCTTGTTTGGATGCATGTTACTCGAACAGAAAACTTGCTTGATGAAAATACCCGATAATGATTTATTAAATTTAAACAGATTGTACCCCAGAACCTCCGCAATTATAAAGATATTCCCCAACACACTCATTTCCTCATAGATGTCGGAAAATGTCTCCCCGTCTTGTAACACTTTGAACTTTTCAACCATTCCGGTAAACGTGGCAACGTTTAATTCTTGTCGATCTTGGTCTCGCGAACAGTCAACATCTAGAATATAAAAGGAAAAGTTGTGAACTTTCTGCAGGAATTCGGTCCCATTTTCGATTCCTGCCATGTTGAAGTAGTCTTGCCAAGCGGGCTTCAAAATTGTCCAGGAAACCCCGGATTTCACCAGAACGGGGAACAGTGCCGTAAAATCGGACTTTTCTTTACAAACTTTGAGCAGTTTTTCCAAAAGGAGAGTGTCTTCGAGTTGGAGAAATTTGTGCAGGAGATTTTCGAAGTGGTCCATCTTACGAAATAAATCTACTTCATATTCCTCCACTACTAGGATTTCCTGGGATACGAGAGCGTTAGCAGCGTGCAAAAGTTGGGCGTCATTTTTTCCCACATTTTTTGTACTTGGTGAGAAACAGGTAACTCCTAAATCTCCAAAATGCTTTGGACTTGGACCAGCCCGGATGCTCGAAAATGTCCTCACCCACGAAGGAAAGGAACGTGTCCCCCTGATAACCCAAAGGTTTGTGAAGGTTATCTCGTGTCAGGTCGAATTCAAGCCCAGCATTGCTCTCTATTACGTGGTTTTGTTCATTTTGCAAAAAATTGGCAAACCCTTCCTCCACTGGGGGATCCACGCTTGCGAATAATCTTAATTTAATCAATTTGCTCGAATCATCGCTCCTTGAATTTCTGGGGGACGATTTGTTCCTCCCGTGAAACAAGGTAACCCCATTGTCCCGAAGGGTGGGGCCGAGAAATCTGGACATGATGTCAAGGTCGACCGCCTTATTGGTGTGGGGCACTGGTAAAACTTTGGCCGATTTGTCGCTGCCCTTCCATTCTTGAATTATTTGGGAAAAACTAGGAACTATATTTTTGACCGTGGGGGCCGTTGGGATTTGAGAGTAAGAGTCGTCCAATTCTGTGAGGAATAATAAGTAGATGGTTTAAACCGGAAGTACGCATACATGATAAATTTAGATTTGTTAAGATTTTCACAGTTTGTGGAGATGATTTTTTGAAGTTCAATGATGGAAACAAATTATTAGAGCCCTAGCCGACCCGGAGGGACTGAAAACGGGAAAATGCCAGATTTCTAAATGATGGGAAAATATCGAAGTGCGACTACCTTAATTCTTTTATTTACAACCCGAATCAAGCGTTTTAACAAAGACTACTAAAACATCCCATGTTTAAAGTAATTTTATATTTAAACTAATTGAGCGGAACCGCTCGATTCGTGTTGTTGACAAAAAATTACAAATATTTTGGTGGCGATATTTACCATCATTCGGAAACTCGCCACCCTTTTGGCGAGTTTCCCCCCCCCCCCTCCCTCGGGCAAGGCGTTGGGTACTTATAAACCTGAATATTTGTACTCTGGCACATATAATAATAAGCTACAGAAACTGCAAATTTTAAGTTTTTTGCGTTCCCCTAAAGAGATATCAATTTGTCTGATTTCGTATTCGCAGAAAATTGAGCCACCGTACTACATGCGAAATTGGAAATTGAAAACATCACGAAAAAATTTGTCGGCGTTAACCTCTGCCTTGAAGCTCCCGTGTTAATTATGTTATTCTTACCCATTTCCAAATTGTAGATTAAACAGGATCTCGCACCCCGACAAGATTTCGTCATGATTCTGGTCAAGGTGCGGATAGTAGGCGAGGTATGTCGGCGTCCATCCGGCTTGTGTCGTCATGTCGGCCGACATGTCGAATTCTTCCTCCCTTCCCTCATGCCGGAAGCGGAGGTTGCCTCCGGTGTAGTGAGATGGGAGTTGGACGATGAGATGACCAAAGGGGACTCGCTTTTTGGGCGGTAAAGATTCGTCACCAACTTCGTGAGGGCGTGTAACAAGCAAATCGTGCAGGTTGGTGGGAAATTTGGTGCCGGCTTTCTGGAAAATGGCTTTTTGTAAAGAAATCGATATCCTGCCTCGGCGGTTCGCAAAACCAAATTCCCGAGGGATCGGGGATACCAGCGATGCCTCGAATCTAGACCATTCCTTAGTGTTCATTATCTGCGAAAAAATAGGCACAATAAATAAAACATAATTACCATGTTCATGTAGATCTTTACATGTCTCGCAAATTTAGCGTCGTAACGTATATATGTATTAATCTGCGAGACTCTTATTGGGCAAAAAATATGATTTTTCTCGCAAATTTAGCCATAGCGTAAATAATTACGGAATTGTTTTTTATTCGCCACCTCATCTGCAGCGAGGGATATTACAGAAACCCAGGAACAAAATCTATATTATAAGCTGGAAATGTTTGTCTGCAACGGAAGTTAAAGTAATTTTCCGTGACGGAAGTAAAAGGGGATAAAGTTTCACTTCCCTCACAACAGGCATTTCCAGCGAATTATATAGAGGTAATAAAGAAACAATTCGGTGGAATTATGAACAATCCGACTTAATTTTCGCGAAAATCAAATAAAGTCTCGCCCGGCGGGAGACGGGCTGATATGCTAGTATATTAAATTCGGAATTTGCTCACAACAAATTTTCTAAAAATTAGCTACACGAGCTGAATCTTATTTGCCAAATAAGACGTTGTCGCAAATACACTAAATACTTAAATTACATTCACCTTGTGTTAAAGCTCTACTTCATTTTCATAGAGTGTTTTGTCTCACTTAACCCGTGCTCAATGTATTTAAATGTAATTACTAAAATGGCATCAACTTCATGAGTATTGAGATAAATGGGACTTTTGATATTTTAATGTAAAGCTAATTTTTGGTACTACAAAAGCTTGGTGTTTTGAAAAATTAGAAAATTCATTTGCTATTTTTGCACACTAAATTTCTTCAAAGATGAATTTTCTAATTTTTCAAAACACCAAGGTTTTGTAGTACCAAAAATTAGCTTTACATTAAAATATCAAAAGTCCCATTTATCTCAATACTCATGAAGTTGATGCCATTTTAGAAATTAAATTTAATAACATTAAACACGGGTTGAGTGAGATTGCGCGCGAACGCGTCATCCACAACAGTCTTAAGCATTATACATTATTGAAAATATAATTAATTAATTACCTCAAATTGCGCGGCTGCTAATTCCTCCACCATCACTTCATCCTCTTGTAGCGGAAATTTGATCAGTTTTCCAGTCTGTATATGAATAAATCATTAAAACTAAAATTTTGCCATCTCAAATATCTATGTGTATATCAACATAGGTAAATAAGTTAGGACTTTAAGAGTGAAATGAAATGAAACATGAATTAAATTAATCACAATTACCTCGATAACTCTGAGTCCAGTCGCCGGTTCATGACATGGTTCAGTTTGCATGACAAATTCCCCGGATCTCCCGGCACCCGACACTTGGTCGAGATAGTGCGATAATTTTATTTGAATTGGGTCAACCAATTCCACTTTTATAATTTTAGAAGGTGGTTGATCAATTTCGCAGGACGCCGACGAGGCTGCAGACGACGACGACTCCGACAACCAAACCCGCCTTCTAATTCTACTGACATTATTATATTCCATCTAAATAATAAAATAATACGTGAATAAGAGTATTTATTTAAAGAGGAATTTTCTGATGACATGGTTAAAGGAAGAAATTGAATTTATTTCCCAAACTTTCGACACTATTTATTTAATTCATTGTAAGTATGTATGAATGCTAATTATTTACTTCTGTAACAAATTAACTTGATCGCAATGCAATTGTAATTTGCAATTAACTATTTGGCTTCCATTGAGTCTGAGCTCAGCAATGAATTACTGTTTGCTGAAAATTTGAATGCCAATAATAATTAAAATCTGGATTTGTTTTTAACAATCGAGAAATTCAATTTGTTTTTTGATTATTTAATTTGCAGATGCCAATTGCTTATGTTTTGTTAATGTGTTAATCAACGCCCTAATCTGTAATTACAGTTGTTTAATGCATAAATTTACCTTCATGATCAATGATTAGGTAAAGAAACGGAATTAGTTTGTAATTATGTAATTAATTACTGATTACGCAAATAATTTGAAATGTCATTAATTACCTAACTGATTGAGTATTTGATTATAGATTATTTGTTCTCGTCGACTCATAATAAGTAATTAGTAATTAATTACATGCTCAAGTACTGACGCAACACTTATGCTAATACAACAGTTAGGAAGATAGTTCATGGTACCAAACGTAAACAAATAAATAATTACCTTAAATTTCTGGTATAAAGTGTATGGAAATTGCCCAGCTGGAGAAGAAAACAGTGTAAAAAATAAACCAACCAAGTAAACATCAGCTGCGAAAACATACGGCCGGCTCATACTCGAATTTTAGCTTCCCGTCTGCATGCTCCTCGTGTTCAGGGTACACAATAAATATGTTTTTTTTAATCTAGTGGTTATATGACATCAGATGAAAGATTCATTCATAAATATGTACATATGTATATCCGTCAAGCTAGACAACAGACCCCTTGCATATTGGATTATTCCCATTTCCTTTGTATTTATGTATCAGGCATAAGCTATTTTTTCGCCAACATCCTGTCATCGCGTATGTGTACATATGCAAATATTTACAAATATGTACCTACCTATGTACAGGGTGGTTAAAGTGTCACGCTACAATGGAAAATTTGTCGATGGGAAAAATCCATAAATTTCCATTAGTTACCGAAATTTTGTATCTAAAATGCAACATTTTAAGAATTTTGTCATCAGTTTTGATAATAATTTATAAAAATATCAATCCCAAATCTTGTAACTAATGGAGATTTAGGGATTTTTCCCATCGAAAAATTTTCCATTGTAGCGTGACATTTTAACCACCCTGTATGTGCACTCCATATGTACGCATATATCCATTAGCTTTTAATATGCAGTTTTGTTAAACTGCATATTATTCCCATGCTAAAGTTTAAAATAATGCAACCTAAATAATTTCCAAAATCTATGAATTTATTAAATTTGCAACAAATTATTATTTCACAAATTAAAGCACTGAGTGATGTATATACTTGAATATTTGCATATTTTACATAGGTCGATAAATTTGTATTAATACAACTTTTAATATTATTCCATTCGTTTTTAAATAAATTGCTCTTTACTGAATTTTTCAACATTCAGATAAAAACGCTCCGTTTTTTGCAACTTTGAAAACCGTCAATTCCGCGGTTCAGATTAGCTGGATAGAATGCTAAATGTTCCAAATTTACTACAAGCAACAAGGCCTGTGTATCCCTTTTTAGAGAGCCATATGTTTGACAAATTTACATAATTTCCACAGTAGACATTTAATTACTTATTTCAAAGGAGTAGTAACAGATCTACAATATAATATCATGGATAGCGATATTGGGTGAATAGTTCAGACGAGGCTTTGCAAATGTAACCTGGGTATTAACGAGTCAACGTTTAATTGTGTCCATCAGTGCAGGCTAACTCATTACAGTGTTGTTAAAATTGCATTATTCAATGCAAAAAGTCATAGCTGACAAGGAATAAAAATGTTATTAATGGATATTATTAATTCAACGTCAAACTCTTGTTGCTTGTTTTTAATATTAAGATTAGCTTTTTGTACATAATGAACTGCAAAATAGTTAATACTAACTATCATTTGTTGAAAGTGTAAGGGAGCGTCCATAAATCACGTGATCGATTTTTGGACAATTTTGACCCCCTCCCCCCCCTTGGTGACCGTTGGTGATAATTTCGCTACCCCTCCCCCCCCCACCGGTCACGTGACAGGAGTTGATGGTGCTCAAATTAAATTATGTTGTCCGGAATAACAATATTATTCCAGTGTTGTTTAACTCATTAATCAAATTTGAGCTACACAAATGTATAAATAACCATTTAATACGCCATTCCGACATAAGAATTTTAAGTCGAAGCAAGTTTTTAAATATGCAAAATGAAAATCAAATTTATATAACGTGTGTGAGGTATGCCAAGAGAATTTATATATAACTCTCATGACATTTATTGGCATATACAAAACTTTACTCATGTCACGTGACATCTGACCACTTACCCCCCCCCCCCTCGTGATAATTGGTGACAAATTTCAGACCCCCTCCCCCCCTCTAATCGATCACGTGATTTATGGACGCTCCCTAATAACTTTATGATAGCTTCCCAAAAACACATGCCACCCAATTTGATGAAGCCTAACCTCTTGAAACACAAATCCTAATGATCCCAATCCCAAAAGAATTGTCCACGTTAAGAATATCATTTGTAGAGTGTCCATCCCAATCAATAGTTTTCTAAGAGCCTCGCCTTCCAACACTTTATGCACCTTCGATTTTCGACCGCCTAGATTGCCAGTTTTTGTCTTTAAAAATCTCCAACTCCTAAACATGCCCTCCCAGTATTCAGTCAATCCACAGGCCATCAGTCTCCTATGAATTTTAACCATTTCCCCCATTAACCTCGTATCATACTGGAAACTCGCGTGCTTTATATCCCCTAACGTTACAAAGTCGCAATACAACCGATCACCCCTTTGAAATTCGTGGTCACTGGAGTTGGTCGCTAGCATTTTTATAATCTTCGACATCTCGACATTTCCAGCAGGTGATTCCATGAAGTGCATTCCCGCACGTGTTTCCCCTACATTCAGCCATGAAGAATTGACAAGTGCAACGTCAAAAAACGTTGAATTGAGCTTGCTTAGTATTCCATACTTTATAAATGCTTCCCTGACATCGGGTAATGTTTCAATTGGAAGAAATCCAGAATATTGTAATCTATCAATAAGAAATATAAACCCTGCGTTCACAAGATCTCCGATATGTCGAAATTTTACTGGAGGTTGCGGGGAAATGAGACTTCCAGTTATAAATGTTTCGTACAAGGCTAAAAGAACTAAACTGATTAATCCCACCGTTATGTTTATCCTGTTAAAATTTCTGATTGGTTGTCGCACAAACATGGAGAGTTGAAGGAACACCTGCAACACGAGACTTCTCCAGGTCTTTATTCCACAAGCAATCCAGGAAGTTAGCGCTATTAGGGATAAACAAAAGGCAACCGACATCCAAACGAATTTTCCATATGGGGTGAACCACACGGTCCAGTTGGTGGTTGGGACGTGCCTTTTGCAGTAGGATAAACTATTTTGAGCATCCATATATTCCACGAGGTGTATCACACTCCGCAGATCACCAGGTATGTGAAGAACTGCATATATTATTTCATTAGCCCGATGATGCTCGCTGGAATGAATTATTGTCAAGTTCAAAACATTGGCTTGATTGTCGATAATTGAATCGGCCGCGACACAAGGTGGTTTGTCGAAACTCCAAAATTTTAAATCTGGCCAAAAACTTTTACGAGCGTTTACAACGTACACAATTTTTTGATAGAACGGAGCCGGAAATTTGTTCAGGCGTAGGGGCAAAGTGATAAGTTGGAGGGCAGAAGGCAATCCTACAATAACGTAGGATTCACCTAGGACTATAAATTGCAGTATATTTGGTCGTCCTCGTATGACAAGGTATACCTCACATCTGACCTCGTATAATACAGGGTGAGGATTGAAACGAGGATAAGCCAGGTGCAAAATTAACATGGAGTAGGGAGAGAACATTTGGACCTTATAAAGGATGGTTGAGTAAGAGTTTCTGGGGCAGGCATTAGCCTTATTCCAAAACTTAATCTCATCACACCCCCTCAAATTCTTCATATCGACACAAACCTAGCCACTAATGACTCACTCAGACAAGTTACATACCTACATAGATGATCGGCCAAAATGTTGAGTTGAACCTCAAATTCAATTGATGCTGAGCTAAATTTGGGGAATAATTCGAAACTTTATGTAACCCATTTAATCTTACATACGTGGTCATTCTACAACCCAAAAATTTTAAATGTTATGATCCTAGATGTTGTGAACATTCCAACGACATATCAAAATTTAGGAAATATTCACATAACGCCTTTCCAGGTCATGTATACACTTATTTATGGTGCGAACATTAAAGGTAGAGTACAATTTTTGAGTACTTGTCAACCATCATCGCTCATCCGTGACTTCGCAGGGTGATGGTTTGACATAAGTTTTGCGATTAATTGACCCTAACATTTAAGGTGAGAAATTTATCTTAAGTTTCCCATCACCTTAACCCCAACGAGAACGGGTGAAGGTTACCAAGTGCTCAAAGATTGTACTCTTCTTTTAATTCTGTAGAAATTGGCAAATCGTGTATCTACCTTTTCTGAACGACCCATACCCTAGTTTAACTCAACAAATCCCTGCAATTCTATGTATGTATGTATACACTCAAAATAAAAATTTGTCAAATCAACACCGCCGGTGTCAATATATGAGTTAACCGTCTTGGTTACAATTGTGATTCCGAGTGGTAATGAAATTTTTCCGTCTGGTCATAACATTGTAACTACGGGTATCAAAATCATCATAACTGGGAATCAACATTTTAACCATGGCGGTTAAGTCATATATTGGCACCGACGGTGTTGATTTGACAAATTTTTGTTTTGAGTATATGTTTGTAAACTTGAGCTACATATATACAAATATATGATAAAAACAATTTTTATCAGAGGACTTTGTGACCAACTAGATAAATGTGAACTTAGCAAAATGTCAACTGCCCCAGAAGCCGTCATCTAACATCGAAAGGTTTATAAAATATCGAATAAAATGCTCCCGTAGAAGAATTGTAGTCTTCGGCGAAAATGTTTATTGCATAAAAATACGAGGAGAATCGGTTTTGCTTAGGATTAACCGGGTGCGTCGAGTTTGAATAGATTTCCCAAGAAACCATAATCCTACTGAGGAATTTTGGAGCGTTGTAGAACTGCACGAAATCAGAAACCATTGAATTTGGGGAGTATTGTTTTGTGTAAAAATGAACGTCCCTAGCGCGCACTTGTGAAAGGAGGGATAAGACGTATGCACAACGGTAAAAATTCCGGACCATTTTGGATTTTGGGGAAAAGTTGAAATATATTTATCTTGCAGAGGATAAGGGATTTGCCAGAATGGGATTAGTTATTTGGGTAGACTACGTCGAAATTGGATATGGCCGATTTACATAAGTAAATATATGTATAACTGGTCGAGGACAAGGTCAGAAGAGAAACTTTCTATGTGAGAATCTCGGATTATCAAGCTTCGAAAATCCCAAAAAGTGTCACTCTCCAAAGACTGTTCTCTTTGCTTGATACATATCTTGCAGCTTTTTCCCCTCAAGACTTGCCAGGACACACAGTAAAATGTAATATTGAATTCTGAATCTTTTAGTTTTTTCAAGTTACGTCAAAAACACATA